TGCTGGGCCTGACTGCTAATTAGGAGAACAGAGGACCGTTTTCAGTATCACCCCTGAAGCTCCCAGAGCAGAAGGAAGAAATATGACACGTTTGTCAGCACAGCCTGTGGCCAAGGTGGAGAATTTATGTACATCTTCTGGCCATAAAAATCTGTTAATTTCTTCTACAAAAGCCACTGCTACAGAACTGAAGTCTGTCTTTTCCCCTGTCACCAGTGGATAGATTGTTACACTTGAAAAAGTTTGCAATTTTGCATAAAAGCATCCCAGCTGAAATGTATTTCCGTAGCCAAGTACTGTGTGGAGGAGGAAGGTTTGGAGAGGGTCTTCCAGGTCTTTTTCCAAAGTCCGTGTCTTGCCATTGAAAACACTCTCTGACTTTATTGCTGCTTCACAACTCTCGTCCGCTGCCACGTGTAGGTGTCAGAGGGCGACTGGAGCCTGCTGCAGGCTCGCTCTGCATCTCCCCTCCCCACGGTTCCTCCTGCTGTTAGCAGTTCGTTAGGAGATGGGACTCCTTCTCCTGCAAGCTGGGGTGAGGGAGAGCCCAGGATGACCCACACAGGAAGGTACAGTGCTTGGGGGATTCAGTACACCAAGGTCTATTAATTCCAGAGCAGCTCTTTGTAAGTGAACGAAGTAGCCACAGCTTGGTGCGGCTGTTGTGCTGTCAAGTGGATCAGCCACAGGGCTACACGTTTGGCCCAGTGACTGGGAAACAAGCTGAGCCTGTCCACAGCTCTCCTCGCCCTTCTGGAGCCAGCAATGCCCAAGCCTGTCCGCCACCCACTGATAACCGTGCCGATGGCCCTCCTACGTAATGCCGTGGGATGCAGAGCCCAGAAGCAGAATAGCTGCCTGAAGACCGGCAGCACATTTTCTCCACCCAGAAATATTTGATTAGGCGAATATGCTGCAGCAAGTTAAAGTGATTTAAATCATCCCAAATGCCTGTAAGTTCTGCCTTACTTGTTTTGTTATTGGCTCATAAGGAGAGAGCACTGATATGTTAAATGTTTCCTAAGCCAAAAAAGAAGAAGAAAAATCCATTCACTGCAGCCTGAATACCTTTGATTTATGAATCTCTGATTCATCCTGACAGCTACTTAAAAATTCATGTCAAACTCTGCATTAATCTTGGCCAGAAAAAGAAATGTGTTAGGTAACGAAAGTGCCACAAAATGCAGTTACTATTGTGGGTGTGTTTAATGAAAGGCATCATTAGCATTTAACTCACCAGAGAAGCATCACTACGTATTACCAGATACTTTCTCTTTTCTGAAGCCTGTTGAACAAATGTGTACTTGGGTGTAGAAATGCATCTCTAACATTGATGTCTCATTACATTATTTCCCTTCTTTAATGTGTATAGTTTTCATGTATGTCGGAGCTTCTCGTGTGCCATTAGATACTGAAACTGAGATAATACAAACATTTTGTTGTATAAGGGAGGAAAGGGAAATAAATTACTTGCTCTTTCTTTTTTTAATTTTCTTCCCAATATTGAGCATATTTGAGATTGAAAACTTAGCTTAATGACTTGATTGATCAAATACCATTCTCTGTAGTGCCTTGGAGAAATTACCATAAACTCAATAAAATGTTTTAAAAAAAATTCCTGATTATTATTTGTTGCTGATTTGGTTATTTTTTTCCAAGAGTGCTTCATTACAAATGGTAATGTTTTCCAAGAAAATAACCAGATAGCCTGAAATTTGAATATATTAAGGGTTTGAATAAATAAAAGCAGCTGCTTTCCTCTTGCAATAGCTGTCTTCTACTTTGCATTTCTAAACGCAATTTTACTTAGCATATATCCGTGGCAATTTACTTACTCTCTTGTGTTTTTTGAAGTATCTCAAAAGGCCCTAGGGCCAAGGTGGCAGTAGACCATCCTGGCAGAGATGTAAGGAGAGAGCAGAGAAGGGAGGCGTGTGGCTGCACTCCTGTTCAAAACCAGTTATGTTTCCACCGTGAACTGAAGCCAGAAAGCTGCACTGTAGCTTAATTAGAAAGGGCAGGTGATGAAAAACATGAATGACATTAAATTTATGAAAGAGATCACAATTTTTTTCTCTCTCTTTACTGCTAAAGAAAGATAGGACATTACTGTGGGGTGCTTGTTTTATTATTACAAAAACATTAATTGCATAATTGAACAATTGAATGTGATTCTTTATTTGCAACACGTCATATCTGGCCTGTGCCCATTATTTACAGTTCTCCAGAAATGTACTAAGCTATATTCAGTTGAATTAAACATAATTAAACATGTTGTTAAAGTTTTTAAAGAAATTTAAGATTCAAGATAATTAAACAGTTAAGATACTACCTATATTTTCTACGGAAAGTGTTTTTGTCTGTATCTCCCATTTTATAGGCTTTCAGGTACCATCATTCATACAGTGTCCCAGATTGTACTGAAGATGATGTTAGAGGTCCGTACCGGACAAGTGAGTGGTCAGAATGGTGGCTTTTGAGAGGAGCTGATGAAATTCATTTTGGTATTTTTGGCTGTGGGATTTTTTACTATGGGTTCTTTTTGGCTATGTGTGAGGCGGTTGCTTTGGTTTTCTTGCAGAGTGATTTTAAAATTTTTATTTTCTTTAAAGAAAGGGAATACAACAAAGGCAGGCATATGGGCAGCCAAGCACTGCTCCAGGCAATTTGTCTTATTGACTGCAGGAAAATTACTGGCACGGCACCAGTGCCCTTCTCAGCCACTTTGAGACTTGGCAAATTCTCCCTAGGCTGTTAGGGTAATGTTTGCATTAGCCTTTTGTAATAAACAGGTATCAGAAGAGTTGCAAAGGTAGATTTATCTTGGCTGCTGAAGGTGAGCTCTTACTAGACAAATAAAGGGGAATAGCTGAAAATTATTAATGCTTTATGGAAGAATATCAGTAGCAAGGTTAAGTTTCCTGTCACGGATATCTAAAATTCTTGCCTCAGCCAAACTATTGATTTTCCCCCTATTGATTGACTGGCCTGTTCATAATCAGGAAGGTGTTACGATGGAAAGTCTCACGAGAGGAAGAGTGGTGCAGTTTGCACTTCAAGACTTGAGAGAGGAGGGTTCAGTTCCCAGCTTTGCAGCAGATTTCGTGTGTGAGTAGCAACAGTCTGTCACAGCTATTTCAGTACCTCCAATTGATCCAGGCACCCAGCAGAATTTGATAAAGTTTCCACCGCGGTTAGTGTTTTACATTGAACGCCACCCACCTGTCTGCTTTAGTATATCCAAAGTCCCACTAGACACCTCCTGGTCTTAAGCATCTAAATACCTTTGAAAACCTGGTTTATATCTCCCAGGGGTTTTCGGTGAAGAAATGTCTGAGCCAGACCATAAGGACCAAGGCACAGTGCTGCACCAGTGAAGCTCGGGCTGGATATCAGCTTGGAGGGGGATGCTGTTGGAAATGCAAGTCGCCCTCTCACATCTCCATTCGTGGCCGAGCAATCCCTTCCCGCCTCCACGAATGTCCCGAGGCAGGCAGCACTTTGTCCTCCTGCCACAGTCAAAATACAGGTAGCCATGAGGTCAACAACATGCTGGCTGATTTCCTGGGATTTCAGCTGAAATTCTGAAACCCCACCCCAGCATCATCTCTCTGACTTCAGATACCCCCAGTTTGTACCTTTCTTTCTAAATGCCAATTTGTGATCATTGCATATGCTGTCATTTCTAGCACGTTTCTGCATTAAAATACATCCTGTTTGTCCTTAGCCACTCAGTACCATTTAGGATTTGACTATTGCAAAACATAGCTTAGGTGTAAAAATTGTCTACGTACCTGTTTTGTGAAATGGAAGAACAGAATGTCCCTAATATTAAACCATAAAGCAGTGATAGTTTATTTATAAAGCCAGAAAAGGCATTTAACAAGCTACCCAATCCCTGATAATTTCAGAATATATTTGTCATGTACATAGGGGACATAAAATTATGAAAGGAAAATAGTTTCAGCAGCATGTGATGCAAGTAAAATGAAACAGCACTGTACAGAAAGGAAAGCTAGTGCAGACTCGAGGCTTGATAGATGGGTGGAGGGCCCATTTCACAGGGTCATGGCTTCAGAAACATTGACAGGACTGTAGGAAGTCCCTGCCCCATCTCATTAGTGGAGACCTCTTTGCCGCCTCGGCTGTGCTGACTCATGTCCTGGTGGGGCCATGCTGCAGACTGTGTTGGGGGCTGATCTGGGCTGCAGTAGCATTTTTTGTGGAATAAAACAGTGCTCTTGACTTTGAACTTGCATCAGTTGGCAAGTCCAGCTCCCAGCAGGGGCTCCCAAACGTCTGCATGGGCTCGGGCTGTGGGGAGCCTCCGGCGGCATGGGGCAGCGGGTGAGCTGGGAACGTGTTGAGCTGCTCTTGTCCCTGCAGGCTTCTCCTGTTGCCAGCCCTGGGTGAGGGCAGTGATGCTTTGGTGCCTTCAGGCTGTGAAACCAGGTGGGGGCCTGTGATTTAAAGTATTTCTGATCTGAATGCGGACTTTGGAGGGGCTTCTGTGACAGACTCGTGACCCTGCAAAATGAGTTATGATAAATGTATATGGAGTGTTGAATGCAAGGATGCTGGCTGCAGCATTTCTCCCTTTCTGCAGTGCTTACAGCAATATCATCTAGGTAAGCCTCAGTAGCACTGGCAATCTGTGTTTATGTCAACCCGTGAAACACATTTTACATATCTCACCGAGACTAATTTATAGAAACAGAGTGTGTAACTGGTTCTGGTTGAAACCTTCACCAGATCCATCTGACTTACCGTTTGGTGAAAACCAGCAGGAGAAAGGGGAGCTCTTTTGTTACTGTGGTTTGCCTTTTTTTTTTTTTTTTTTTTTTGGAAAACCAGCAGGGGAAAGGGGAGCTTTTTTTTTTCTGTGGTTTGCCTTTTTTTTTTTTTTTTTTCTTTTGCCTTGCCATGTCCTCTTGTCACTTTATTATGAAGCAATCACTTGTTTTACTTAAGGTTTCTTTTCTCTCTCTCCTGTCTGATAGGCCTAGAAGATGTTGTAGCAATAATGATTCCTGAACCCAAAGGAAAAGAGATAGTGAGCCTCCTGGAGAGGAACATTACTGTGATGATGTACATAACCATCGGGACACGCAACTTGCAAAAGTATGTCAGCCGGACCTCTGTGGTGTTTGTCTCCATCTCCTTCATTGTGCTGATGATCATCTCGCTGGCATGGCTGGTCTTCTATTACATCCAGCGATTCCGCTACGCAAATGCCAGAGACAGAAATCAGGTGAGCGGTGCTGGAATGGCTGTTTGTGTTTCCAAAAAATCACCATGGAATTCAGCTTAAAAGTAAAATTTGAGGAAATTGTGAATATGTGGTAAAAAAACCCAAAAACAAAACACCAAAAAAAAAACCCGAACCAAAACAAAAAACAAGAAAGTGAAAAGAATGAGGATATAAAAATGCCTGTGTTTGGGGAAAGCCAAGACTTTGTCAATATAGATGGGATTCAGGAAAAAAGAAATTAATGGATATAGTGTGTATATATTATGGGGTTTTTCCCCTGCACAAAACACAAAAAATAGAAAGTTGATAATGTTTATTAGCAAAAAGATTGCCTTGGTACATATAGCTAAGTGACATAGAAATGTACATAACTAATAACCCTCGAGATCAAAATATAGTGAGGTATGTGAAGGTCTGTGTGTGAAACAAGGGTTCACGATCAGTGAAAAAAGAAAAAAATGACAGAAAGTGTTTTCATTTTAATACTTCTTTAGAAGGGTCTTGGGCTTGAAAGGCAAACATGTCTCTGTTCATTTGACAGTGATCACTGAACATATAAGTGCGGTAGTGATAGCCACCAATATTGTTAAACCATTGCTTTTGGTTTTGGCATCTTGTCCAAACCCCCTGAAAGAGATACAAAGCCTACAGAGCTGGAGAGAAGTCAACAGCAGTGGGAATGAGCCTTAGGTCCCGAGGCCATCTGGATTTATAAAGCGCTATGCATCTTTATGGTAGTTCAGCAATGAATAATAATAGCAATGATAGTAATAAATTTAATCTTTTCTTGTCTGGATACAAGTATCTTGGCATCAGCAGAACTGTGAAGCTGAGGCTTCTACATTTCATTCTAATGGTACAGCAGAAAATGTTACCAATGTATGAAATCTGAGGAGATAACCATTTTTCTGCAGGGGAAAAAATGCACTGTAATTCGGAGATGTTTCTGGACCCTTCATAAATTACTCATGGGGCAGGGGAAGGGTTGCCTTCCTTGCTCTGCAGAAAAAGCAAAACTGAGAGTGTTAATAATCATCTTGTAGAGAAAAGCACTGCCACCCGTTCTGTAGCGTGTACTTAACTTTTTTTGTGTAGGGATCCCTTCCCCTCCCCCACTGAAATTCAGGCATCCTCTGAGATAGAGAGCAGCTGCTCTGTATTTACAGACAGAAAGAATATATTTTCCTTTTAAATATACAGTATGAAATTTTGGATAGCGAGAATGAGACTATCCCAGCTGGAATTTGAACATCACTGGCAGCAGATTCGCTGTGACTGTAACGGCTGTGATAATTTTTAGATGCTTTGGCTACAAAAGCACATGTGTGCTATGTGAGTACCATAAGTGTGCTTTCAATCAAGTAATTTTACAGGCAGAGTAGCAGTGTAAATAGACATACATAAACATGAAACCCAGCAAAATAAGCAGCTCATTCAGGTAATATGCTGTAGTTTGGAACTCGTAGGTTTATAATATTCAAGCAGACTTCCTTTTTGGTATTTTCTCTCCGAAGTTTGAACAAGACTAACATGTGCACAAGCAATTGTCCTGTGCAGAAGTTTTAGTAACTTTGTTATTATATTAGTTCTGTTCTGAAGAATAAGAAAGCATGCCTCCTAAACAATTATTTATTACTAATTTTTTGCCAAAGCTGTAGTAATGATATGGGGCAAACTAGAATTTCTTCATATACTTTCTTCATCTAGTTTTGCCTGACGTCTCCTCTAATCTCTTTATTAGCTCTTGTCATATGAAAAATGGTAGTGATATACAGGCAAAGCTCGACCATTTGTGTTAATGAGTTGCTGTGGTTTGTTTTTTTCTCTTTTAGTCCTAGCTATGGAATATAATGATGTAGTTAGTTCAGAAAAGCTCAGCTTGCTTTTGCCCTTTCCATGAGGGTTCCTCTCTGTTTCCCCTAAAGTTCTGCTTGCCTTTTTTTTTTTTTTCCTTGACACATTTTCTTGTAGCACAAGAATGGGATCACAAAGTTCTGTGTTAATATCTTGGATATCCAGATACATACAAGAAAAATTGTGTTGCTTTGCTGGAGCAAGATTCTTTTGTCATTGCACTCAAAAGCTTTTGCAATTATAACTTGCGTGTCTGTTTGTATGAAGGTATTGTGCTTACTTGTTGGAAAGCCTTGCATGTGTTGTAAGTACCTTCATTACTTTATTAAGCAACTTTAGGAAAGAATGCTTCCTTCTATTTGTATTTGATGTTGTACTCAGGCTAAAGTTTATCCAAAGGTTGAAATGTTTGCATAAACAGAGCATCAGATGAAGGGGGAGCCAGCTGGCCTATTCAAAGAAAGTTGTGCTATCAGTTCCTACCCCGCAATGCGATAAAATCTGACTGTGCAGACTGACTGCGCTGTTCTGAAAGCGCGAAAAACTGTGACTCACGTATTAGACTTCAGTTAAAATTTAAAATAATTTAGAAAGCTTAAATTCATTTTGACATCTGAATGACTTAAAATCCCACAGTTTTAAAACAAAGGCTTGCGAGGGCCCTATGCCTACCTCTTTAACCTCTGTCATGCATGCCTTTGCTAGGTTTGGCTGATACTGGAGTTGCTACCAGCAGCAGTTCAGCCTCCTCTGGATTGGTAGTCTGGGCACTGTGCACTGGGAATGGGACAGTGTGACTGACTGCAAAATATGATTGGCAGAAAAAGCTGTTATCTCCAAGCAGGAGGGGTGTTGTACTTTCCAGGTCCACTTCCCTTCTTGCACACAGCGTAAGTCACTAATCAGGCAGTAAACCCAAAAGGAACTGATTTAATTATCCATCAAGAAAGCAATGAGTCCAGCTAGTGAGAGAGGCAGCTAGAAAGACTGAAGGATCTCCTGGAAACGTTTCCCATGACTCCTCAGTGAGATGAAACCTGGACATAGAGCGTGTACATCTTTAGCCGCCACTCTTCCTCACCATGTGTGCAAAATCCAGTTTCATGTGCCAGAAGGAAGACACAGCTCACTCCAGTTAGGTGCCTGATTTTGATGACCGGAGAATCAGGACTTCAAGGATTCTCACTGAATGCCCTTGCCTGTTCATTCCAACTTGACTGGGAATTAATGCAGCGGAGTGCAAAACTGTCATCCATTATGGGTTTGTGCACCTGCAGCCAGGGTGTCAGCTACAAATATGGCTGGATTTCAATTTTGATTTTAATACATTTAATCCTTAAGAGTATCTCTAGCATAGACAACTGTACATGTGGAAGTAGAAAATAAGTAGCAATATTCACATGGATGAAAATCCAAGGCCTCCTCTTTTTTTCCCACCTAACAAGATGTCCAGGAAGTAGGTGGTTGCCCTGATGATAGGCCCCTTTGATACAAAGAGGATAAATTTGTGTAAGGAAAGCATAGGCAATCTGCTTCCTCAGCAGCTTATTCCTGGAGCCTTTCTGAAGATGAGAGAGTTTCTCTGTGAAAGACTGTGGGAATTGTTTGCATCAAGAGACATCAGGTTGCAGAGGTAATTGAAAGCAGTTTGGAATTACATGACAAGTTAAGTCCTAGAGATAGTTCAGCAAAATGTGACTTGCTGTCTCAGCCCTGTAACAGCCAGGACACAGGCTTTAAAAAAAGAAAAAAAACCAACCCTGTCAGTGTGTCAGATTTCATATTTCACCAGGAATAGCAGAGTTCTCTTTTTGTTGTCTGTGAGACGGGAAGATGGCAAGGGGATGATGTTTAAGTACCAGGCCTGCTGACCATGTTTCTTCCATGTCATTTCTTGTTAAGAAGTGTTCTGTAAAGTCGTTTTGAAACCAGGTGGGCTCCATGAGTTTTGCAGCATAGTGAAAGCCAAGCAGGCAGTGATCGCACTGGGGCTGAGGGGGGTCCTGTGCATCCTGGGTTAATCTCCAGTGAAGGATCTAATTTACTATGTGACTGGCAGCATATGGAGGGTCAAGCAATTATCTGAGAAGGAAGGCTGATGGCCGTGGCTTTGAATGAGAGTTTTGGGCTATTGAATAGAGGCATCAATCTTTGAAACAGTCTTGGGAAGAAGCTCCCCATGATGGAGTCTGCAACTTTATCTGTGGCATAGGAGATGTGTCTGATGCTTCATTCTGCGCAAGGCACAAGGCAATCTCCTCCCTGCGAAGGTGATAGTTCAGTAAGGCCATTAAGAGAGAAGTGCTTACCATAATTTCTCTTCCACAGCATCTACGGTCGTTTACTTCCTCAGGAACAGCCGAGTGATGGTTTCCATGCTACTGTCCTTTCTTTTGAACTAGTATCACCATCTCCACAAGCCCACTGCATCTGATATGCTTAACTCATTCCGTTCCAGTACTGACTGTTGCAGCCTTGCTAATGAGATTATGAGATTTATGATTGTAAATCTCTAAGCCTCACTTTAAATCCTTAAACTATTGTAATGCCTCTTATCTTTCAGGGGAAGTCATTGGTTAGTGATAGCATGCCTTTTGTTCAAATGGAAGAATCCTTTGAAAATATGACTACTCCAAGATATTCCCGTTCTTTCAAAAACTAAATTATTCTCATTTGCATGTAAGTCATGAACTTGTCTATTTAAGATAGATAAGAGAAAACAAACATGAAAACAAGCAGATCAAAGATGTACATGAGTCTTTAATCTTGTCCTTTCCCCTTGAAGAACGTGCAAAAAAGAACTGAGACATTTCGTTAGTTTAAGTAATAGTAATGATAAAAACGAATCACAAGCAATTCCCGAAGCAGGACATAATGGCTCTTGTCTTGCTGTATGTTATCAGTCTGTCTTTGATTTATACTAAAGAAACAAATAACTGGCAAGAAATGTTTCCAACTCGTCTGATCCCTTTATTTAAGGGAAACTGTGAGAAAAATGTACCACAGAAAAGATATTGTATAACTACAAGATACTCGCTCACGTGTAATAATTAGTTATGCTGGAAAGCTCATATGTAAATCTTGTATGATGGCCAAGATTGTTTTTACCTCTTTAGCCAGATCTGAAATTGCTCTCTGCTTTCAGTATTGCATGCATTTTGTCAGTCTTCCATGTCTTTCCAATCCAATAAGCTTACTCTCTAAATTTAATTCAGTGATTTTAATTGAATCTGAAGAAGAAAGTGGTAATTTATTAATTGTATCTGTATGGTGATTAGGTCTCAATTTACAAACGACATCCAGCTTCCTTCCATTTTTGGCTTCATGCTCTCAACCCCTCCAGCTGGAAACCCTTCCCGCTGACAGGCCCCTCTGAACTCCGGCACAGGCAGTGTTCCCAGCCCGAAAAGTTGAATGTCTTCTGAGTCACCAAAGCTCCTAAGACTCCCTCCTATCTAACGACACATGGCTGGAAACATGGATGGGGAGGGGAGGTGAAGAAAAGAGTTCAAGTCATTTATTGGTGGCAAATTGGGATGCACTGTGTCATGAACTGTTATAAAACTGACAAGAAGACATCAGAGTAGGTGTTGCTGCATGAAACTGTACAAGAAAGGCATGAAAAAAACTGGAGAGCACCCAGAAGGGGGTCACCAGTACGATCTGGGGACACGAGCACACAACATCCGAGGAGAGGCAGAGGGAGCTCGGCTTGCTAAGCCGGGAGGGGAGCAGAGGAGGAGAAAGGGCTCTGCTTGCAGCCTGCAGCTGCGTAACGGGTGGTTGGAGAGGAGGCAGAGTCAGACTCTTCTGGGAGATGCACAGAGAAAGGACAAGGATAATGGTCACATATTACAACAAGGCAAATTCCATTTGTATGTTTAAGAAAAAAAAAGAAAAATGTGAGACTGGTTAAGCACTGGAACAAATTATCCCCAGAGGTTGTGAAATCTCCCTTCCTGGAGATATTCAAAACTTGACTGGACACAGCTCTGGCTTTGAAGTTGACCCAGCCTTGAGCAGGGGGTGGGAGTACATGACCTCTCCAAGACCTTTCCAGCCTGGGAGTCTGTCTTCAGATCGCCTCGTTGTTGGGTTAGCACAAGCGAGCAGCCAAGTCCTTGGAGCACATAGTGCCTTGATACAGGCACAAGCTCGATAGCACAGGGTGCAGAGGTAGCTCTGCTGAGCAGCGATTTTATGAACTGCCCCATAATGTTCTCAGCCTCTTGCAAGAGGCAGGCATCTCCATCTTCAGCATTTGAAAACAGGGTGTTTTGCGTCAGGCTGTTATTACATATTTCAATCCTGAGTGGCTGTGACCCTGCCAGCACAGTAACAGTGTTTTGGAAATATGGGAGAACAGTCAGAAACATCATGTGGTAAGCAATTCATGGTCCACTGGAGGGAAGGATACAAGGCAAAGAACAAGCAAATGGTTATGTACGGATAGGTTGTTACTGCAGGACTATATAGTGCTTTACCTGTAAGAAACTGCAGATGCTTTCACCTCGTTTTTATACCTTGCATTGCTCCTATAAAGTAGGTAACTCTGTATTGCAGGAAAAGAGAACAACAGAGATTATTCATGGGTTTTGTGGTTAACAAATTAACAGCTCACTTTCAGCACTTCCATCTTGCTGAAGATCATGAACTAGTTCTGGAACAACGTAAGAATAAAGACCTTCTGAATCTTAAGTCCAGTGTTCACTCTGCTTACGAGTCCAGGCCTCATTTAACAATGTATTTTTTACAAGTATCATTAAAAAAGAGAGGGGAGAAGTAGGATACCCAAATAGTGGACTTGTTACATGCATTGCTACTCACTGAAATAGTAAAGGTGCTGTAGTATAGCATCATGATGGGCTCACATGCAGTCTCCACTGGAACTCCATTAGAGCAGCTTTGCCTCATCGGCCGTGGGTTACCAGTGAGCCCAGAATACCTACTGTGCCCTTGTTCTGAATAACAGCATGACTGACCTCATCTGTTTATATTTATGCAGCACTGTCCTGTTTCATGTACAGTCACTTCAGATTATTAAGAAGCCTAGGGAGAAAAGGTGATGATTTCTGCATGAAGAGATACTCTTTGCTTAAGAGCAAATTTTGTGTTACAGCGCCGGCTTGGAGATGCTGCAAAGAAAGCAATCAGCAAGCTGCAAGTCAGAACAATCAGGAAAGGTGATAAGGTAATTTTTTAAATTGCTCATTACCAAATGAAACTCTGTACTGAGGATTCCTTCAGACCACTGGGACAATGAGGCAGAACAGAAATGGCAATTGCTTATTTAGCTACCATGTGTCCTTCAGGCGGGGAAGGAATACTGGTAAGTAATTTACGGATAGAATGGAGTAGAGAGAGAAGAAGGTGATTCTGTGAAGACGCAGAAAATCCTGAAAGTTAAAATATGCTAACTAAATCTGCATGCTTCCCAGGGCAAGTTTCCAGCTAGAAACATGTTGGAAAATCTGACTTGCTTGTCTTGAAATGCATTATTGGATTTCCAGCATGCATCGGTGACTGTTTTACTTTGTCACATAGGCTGTTGTATGAAGAGATTAGGTGACAAAATCAAAAAATTAAAATGATGAATCCTCTCTTTCCTGTAGGAAACTGAGCCAGACTTTGATAACTGTGCTGTTTGTATTGAAGGCTACAAGCCCAATGATGTTGTCAGAATTTTGCCTTGCAGGTAAGTTGAAGGTTGAAGGTGCTTTTGGCTTTGAGAGTCTCTCTACTTCAAGACAGGCTCTGTTCTCACAGTATCGTGCTGATGAGATTACCTGAGAGCTTGGGGAGGGAAGGGTGAGTTTATCATTTTGATTTATTCAAAATCTGTTCTGTAAAGATATTTGAAATGCCTCTTTATTCGACTTGAAGTGAAAGTAGTATTAATGGTGGTGAGAACCTGAGTTGGTAGGTAGATAGCATGATAGTCAGACATTTTTGTCTGATCTGGACCTATTACAAAGTCTTCGGTAGGATTTTTAAACTAAAGGTTTTGATTCCTCTATTTTGCTCACTGGTTTTATATCAGTCCAGAATAATTCCCTTAGAAGAATTTGCCCCTGACTTCATATTGTGCCCTGGGCACAGCAGCCAGGGATAAAGCAGGCTCCTGCTCCCCATGGAGCCACTTCTTTTGCTGTCCTGGGCCATGTCTAGGCCCTGAGAAAGGGATGACTTTACCAAAAAAACCCGTAAGCATAAAGAGAGATATGCTGAGTAGAAACAGTAAAGCAAAAAGGGAATGTGGCAAAGACCACATTATCTATTGCTGCCATGAAAATATTCTCAGGCATGTGGGACATGGAGGTGACAAGAAGAGCTTTTGGGCTTGTTCTTTCTCTTTTCTTCCACTCATATGAATGTGCCCTGTGCAGTACATACACTCGCAGTGATGTGACACAGGAGCGCAGGCTCTTACCAGCCGTAACAGTTGTATTCATCTCTCTGTGCTGTTGTATTGTCATCTGTGAACTGTTAGCTAATGAAGGATTTCTCTAAGGAAATCAATTTCTTAGGAAATTTCCTAGGAATGGCGGTTCCCTTAGGAGTGCAAGAGCAAGTGTTTGATTTCCCTAGAAATAGGAATCTCAAGTGCTGTACATACAGAACAGATTTTTTTTTTTTTAAATAGAATTTCTTTCTTCTCCTGCAGGCATTTTCACTGGCTTGAGAAACTGAAATATTTGTTTCTTTTCCTGCTATGTTGTTCCTTAGTAGATATTTGAATGTTACAAGCTGTCCATTTCTGTTCGTTCATGTGACTCATTAAATCTGTTTACTGACATCACTAAATGGCAAACAAAAAGCAACAGATTAATCATAAATTTGACCTACTGTAAATCCTCCACAATGACAAATGGCACGTGAACTCTTTTTTTCTACAGACACACACAAACACATCACTTCATGAAGCAGAAATACAGAAAAATAAGAAACTACCAGAAAATGTGGACCTTGGCTTGACATCAAGCCTGTTTTCATAGAAGCATAATAAAGCTTGGAAATTTTGCATGATGGAGACAGGCAGTTTTTGGAGGTAGTTATACAACAGTGAAAAATATGTCTAAGCTCTAGCTTTCACTTGTGTCTTGCCTCATAATTCAATGAGGCTCCAGTCAGACTTTGTCATCCACAGTGTTGAGTCAAGCAGAGTGAATAGGAAACACATAGTTAACAGGTGATGTTCAGTTCTTGGCTGACTTAAAAGGTCGCCTAGAAAATGACTCATGCTAAAAGGTTAGCAGCAGCAGAACTGTCTTGTAAAATACTCACAGTTTGAGCCTCAGCAGTTCTGAATTACAAAAACTCAAAGATCTTTCTGGAGCAGCTACTTCACAAACCCTGGCTTTCCTGCTACGCAAATTGTGAGGGCAGTATTTTACACATTCACATGGGTTTGGACTTCCAAAACAGGAAATGGTAGTCATGATTCTTTCTGCTGTTGTCAGTCTCATCTCCTCATCCAAAAAAAAAGAAAGGAAAAAAAAAAAAAAAAGAAAGGAAAAAAAAAAGAAAAAAAAGAAAAAAAGTGGATTAATTTCTGTCTCTGTTAAGTGAGTAGGAGTGTGTTATATCTTGATAAAGACCTACAGACTTTGTAGGTTTCTTCCTCCAGCATCCTCAGTTAAACTGTGTGCAGTTTCTAGTATGGGAACCTCATTAGACTGCTGTTTTAATAAGAGGCTGGCATTTCACCAGGCCTTAGAGAAACCAGCACGATATGATGCCAGTGCTGACTGACCTTAGTGTTTCTATCCAAGAGGTGCTCAAGACGTAGAAGTTTTTATTTGCAAAGCCAAATATGCCCCAAGAGCTGCACATGCAAGATGCTGCTTTGTACTGCAGACAGTACTGGGAAAACCACGGCTAGCAGGCACACTCTGTGTAAGTCCTCTATATCTTGAGATTTCTTTTGAAGGCTGGTGGAGCCTGAATCTCCTAAGAAACTGGTACCAAAAATCCACCAGCCAGTATTGCAGTGGATGAGCTCTGAAGTCACATAGCTACGTGTTTACTAGTACTTACGCTGTTTCCTCAAATGTCCTCTCTTTTCTGTTGGCAGAGAGCAGGCACTGGGATAGCCTGTTGTTACGTATCCTACTCTGGAGAGCTAGGAGGAGAATTCCAGTTAACTTGTACTTCTTCCTCTTTGTCCTCTTTAGCCAGCTCCCACAACTGACTGTATTAATAAACTTCACTCTACAGAATGTATTAAATAAATAAGGACTGACACTTGATAAAAAAGAAGTGTTGGCTTGCAGCTGGTTTTATGTTTAATGGTAGCAAGCATCACTGAAGTTATCTTTGAGGGCGCTGACACAACATCAAATATAACCAAGTTCATTGTTCCCAGAGTGACAGCTCTTGTCATAGCCCTAGTTCCTTCTGCTTGTCCTCCATCTCTAGCTTCAGAACGCCTTTGTCTTTTTTATTCTGCCTTTGGAGAAGTTACTGGTGCCTATTACTAAACTTTTACTAACTTTACTAAATTTCTACAGACTGGCAAGACAATTCTTTCAACCTCGTCTCTACTGAGTTCTCCATAAGCTCTTTTTTTGGTTGTTTCATTTCTCTCACCAATAAACATGCTTTCTGACCCCGTTCCAGCTCGTTCCCTTCCCCTGAACCTTCACTTCATGAACAACTGTGATTTCTGAGACCGCTTCACTCCTCCTTCCTCTTTTTATTAGCTTCCTGTGAAAATTATTTCATCACACACATTCTTCCCTCCGATTCCTTCCTCTCACTTACCCTCATCATCAGCTTCTTTTGTCCTTCCTTCTTCCTCAAAAATAAATGAATAATACCATACGTGCACCCTCAAAAGCCCACACCTTCTCATTGGATACTACGGTGCTGCTCAGTCTCCCGCCAAAACCCTTCTTAATCCTCTGCTTCGGCTCTATGTCTAATCCAGGCAACTGATGCTCTTACTTGGGGTCCCTAGGGATGTACCTCTTTTTCTGCTTTTGCCTCCTGTTCTCTTAGCTCACGCTTTTCTTCTGAGAAAAATTACGTGACTGCTAGGTTTATTTGTGTACAGTTTGGAAAGTTGGGACTAGGAGTAGAAGGTGGGAGGAGAAGAGTTTCCCTTACCCTGGAAAAAAGGCTTCTCAAAATTATGGGCAGCTGAAAGCTTTACAATAGTTTTACAGCAATGAAATTATTATTATAATTTCAGGGTGAGCCCAAAATGAAATTTTTTTCCTTGTATGATTAAAATTGCAGCTTTAAAGAAAATTTAAATACGTTTCAAACAAAAGTAATCTCCAGTTTAAAAACATGAAGTGCTATTTAGTTAATAGTAAATTAAATGCTCTGGGATTTTGAGGTTCTTTTTCTTTCTCTGGGCTCTGTGAGCTTTACACAGCCACGTGCAGTCACAGAGTCGCAGAAGAGAGCAGGAGGGATCCCAGGAGGCCACCACGTCTGGAACAGCACAGGGGCACTGGCTGTGCACGTGTCATTCCTGGGAGTTTTTTTCCAACACATCCTGCAGTCTCCTGGGATGAAGGCTCTGCAAATTCCCCTGATAATTTATTGCAGTGCTTCACTACCCTGACTGTGGTGAAGCTTTTCCTATTGTGTAACCTGGATCTCACTTGCTGCAGTTTAAACACATCATTGTGTCTTTTATCCCTGGGAGAGGTGCAGAACAGTTGTTTCCTTTCTCCTTATGGACGTCTTTGTTTTGTATGAGGATTCTTACAACATCTCCTCTCCTCTCGCCTTCCTCTCTCTCAACTAATCAATTACAGTTCTTTGGAGAAACTTTTCAACCCATCCAAATCAACATAGTTTTGCAATGCATGTGGTTGCACACAACAGAAGAAAACCATATTTTTTTGTAGCTCTGACTTTGATTGTCAAAGCCATGTCCTGAGCCTGTGCTTGAAACATCTCTTCTACTGTGCCCCTGTATGGGTCATCACTTCTAAACTCATCCATGATGCCCCTACCCTCTCTTTCCTTTTAAAACGTGCAACAGTCAGAACTGCAGAGGGAGAGGGATTTTTGTTGCAGTTTATCTTTTTACATCTTTGTCTTACCATGTGACAGTGAAACATTGCAGTTGCTCTCTCATCTTACTTTGTGCTGACCCTTATTTTGCCTGAATTTGGGTGATAAACTTATCAGGACATCAAACAATTCACAAGCCATAAGCATGTATATAGTGCTGTAGCTAATAACAAATAGAATAAACTTTGAAATCCAAATCTGCAAAGCCTGCCACCTCACTTCTCTGCACAAATGTTTACGTGTTCAAAAATAGATATTATGAGCACTCTAATTATATAATGTGGTACGAAAATTTAAAAATGCAAATCTTTATCTGATTTTCAGTAACATTCCATTTCTCTGTAGATTTCTGTCAAATAATCAAGTTCCTTCTGTTGTGCATATTAAATCTGAAATTAATAGAGCCATAATACACTGTGCTAATTTAATGTTGAGAAGTGCAAAGTGATGTGATCTGTCATGTATTTAAATTATTCGGCATTGGTGAGATTTCTTTTACAATATTGTTTTTTGAAGCCAACTTCAAGAACACTAAACTTCAGTTTTTAAAGTCTTTAAGGCATTAAAGTTCCAAGCTTTTGGTGATTAACAAACATTATGAAATGCTGTAACATCAACCACAGCTTGACTGAGGCTTGCAAAGCTTGAACTTGAAAACAAAAGGAGACTTTCTAGTCCATGGTAAAACGGCTTGATAGAAGTTACGTGTTTTTTATCCAAAACAGATTTTGGAAATCTGGTTTTTTTTCAAGAGAATAATAAATATGTCAGATTTTGTAAATGTACTGATTGTTTTGGCACAAATGTGCTTCAGATGTTTGCAGTTAAACATACTTGTTTATGAATTTGAGTATGTAATCAAAGAAAACCAATCACTATCAAGAATTTCACAGTTATTTCAAATAGCTGAAAAGCAAGACATTGACTTTCAGTACCCTCCGTGAGTCAACACACCCAAGGAATTCTGTTGGTTAGACTTCTAAATGTAAAATTACACATGCCTGAGGACTGTGTCTTTATGCTTTCACCTATTCAGAATGCTTGCCTGATGATGTGCTGAATATGTCCCTCCTGAGATAAAAGGAGGGAAGAGTTACACAGGACAGAGACCAAAATTTGGCATATTGTGCTTTTACCCAGTAAAGCAAGTCTTGTTTGGAAGGAGGGTTGTGGACTTTAGTAGCCTCTAGTAAAGTAGTGGTTTAAACTTCAGGTATCATGATACTTCATTTGTGTTAATCATGTTGACATACGGGATCAGATGAGGTTTGACCAAGTTTGGTATTGCAGCCAACTGATATAATTAGATTAGGTCAAACTTCCAAGAACAGATTTGCCCTTTCCCATAGTTGTGTGAAGTCAGGCCAAGTACAGAAATGTGATAATTTGCCATGTGGCTTTGTTCACAAAGGACCCGTTTCTTATAGAAGTAGTGAGAAAAAAAAAACGCAGTGAAAAGAATAAGATTCTGAGATTTCACACAGTTTTGGCTTTGAATTTCTAGTGTTATTTAGGACCGAAGCCAGCTAGTAAGCCAGCCAGCTAGTATGTGGGCCGATATCGTGTTAGTAAGAGCCAGGGTTGCAAATCGATATTGGTGAAAGTGCACCTAAATATCTTTCATCAAGTCGAAAGGCCGTGTGTCTCTTGTGTGAGAAAGGCCGTGACACAATACAGCAGCCAACCCATTCAGCTGGATACGTACCACTTAAATATTTAAAATTATTTGGGTGCATTAAGTGATTCTAGCTTTCTCAGAGGTTGCATTTCCTCGTGGAGGCTGGTATGTGCCCTGCGCCAGACGGAGCCTTGGGCAGCTGTGAGCTGTGCCCGCCTGCGGTTACCTGGCTGTGCTGTACGAGCGATGCGCACGGGGCAGTGACGGCACAGGGAAGGACAGGCTGGGTGCTGCTCAAATGTGAAAGTTCAAGCAGACTGAAACGTGACTGTCAGGCTCTGCCAGCTAAAACATGGGACACCTGTTGCAAGCTTGAGAAGGGAAATTTAGAGCTGATCTATATGGTGTTTCAAAACAAGCAAATTAGTCTTAGTTTGCACCTTTTGGAGCAAGACTGTATGTGTATCGAGCCTCATATTTCAGAATAAAATGCCCTTTTTCAATTTTACTTAAGTTATGAAGTTATATTAGACAGTTGGACTAAGATCCCTTCCAACTGAACTACTCTATTCAATTAATTGATTAAAAAAGATTTTTAGGAAGGCAAGTCAATTTTCAGTTTCCTATGTGCCATTGTAATTTCTGAGGCTACGTGCATGGTAGGAAACTTTCCTTCTTCTCTTCAGAATGAGTGGGGCTGAACAAACTTCATTGCCTTGGGCTGAGCCCCGACGCCTCTACTTGGCCTACTCAATAGTGTTTCTTAAATCCCGAGCCACATTCCTGTGTTTTATAACGTTCGTTCTCTATAACCACAAAGTAGCAGAATATGCTCGCAAGAGAAAATACAATCTGACAGTCAGGTACACGCACTAAATATCTCTATATTCAATCTCAGTTTGTGTCAGGTGACGCTAGACAAGAAGCTTTCAGTTCCTCCACCTGGATAATGTCTAAGAAAAGCGGCCCCCAGCAGCCACAGGGCCCAGGTAGTTGCTTGGTGGTCACCTCAGACCGAGCACAGGATTAGCAACAGCCCTTTCAGGGTTGGAATTGTTGAGGAGCTCACTCTGATGGGCAGCTTCTAAAGAGCAGGAAAGTCAGGCAGAATGTTTAGAAAGCATCATCCCATTTTTTGCATTTAAATGAAAAGTAGCTTTTTTTTTTAATTCACTTTATTTCCTTATGCCTGCATCCTAAAAAATACCAGACCCCGATGGCTTCACATTTAAATTATGTGTAATCAGGTTTGTCTGTAGAACCATCAAGAAATACTAATGTGATTTTTACCTTTATCAGCAAGCAGGTTTTATTACTGACAGACATTAACATTTAAAGAATGTGGGGTTTGCTGATGTATTTTGTGTATTTTTCCTAATTCTCTAATTATGTACATGTCTTCTTTTCCAAACTCAGTTGAGCAACACTGTGCACATGTGCTTGAGATGCTGCAGAAATAATTTTAGTCTTGTGTGCATAGGATGTAGTTTTGCAGTCCTTGCAGAGGTCACAGACACCACCATTTGGAATACTCTCACTTTACTGAATTCAGAACAAGCATCTGGTATTAAGTGGTAAATTGTGGTGTGGTGGCTTTGAATTAAAATATCCTGGTTTTCATTGCAGGCATCTTTTCCACAAGTCCTGTGTAGACCCCTGGCTGCTAGACCATCGTACCTGCCCGATGTGTAAAATGAATATTCTAAAAGCTCTAGGGATCCCGGTAAGCACGTCGCAGAGCAGCCGGTCGGGGCAGAAGGGAAACGCCAGCTACTTGGGTATATCGCTAGCCCTTTGCCTGTCTGTTCCCATCTTACTCTTCTTGCCATGTTATTGATTTATTAATTGATTTATTAAGGGGAGTACAAGCTGAAATGTCTGACTCTACCTCTCTTCTGCACCCCACTGTTAGTAGCAAGGAAGAGTGTGTGTATGGGTGTTGGTTGGGCGTTGAGATTTGTGTGTCTGTGGTTGCCTGCTTTGTGGAGCAGAGGGTTGTTTGCTGGTGTTTTGGTGGATTTATAGATTCTTTCACATAGCTTTTGTTTGTGTTTTAAATGAGGACTGGATTTATTTTTTTTAATCATGCTCTCAGTTCAAATCTCAAAGCAGAAGGTCTGCAAATAAAATTTTCCCTGCTATCCTAGTCGAGGACAACTAATTGCTCATTCTGGGGAGCCAAATCTTTTTTCTGTCAGATTTCTCTTAAAGTTTATCTGTAGCAAGCTCTGTACTCCTAATTCCAATTAGGGAGCATTTCTCCCAGTAACTAAGCGTGTGGCGGACCGCATGACATACAAGAAATTGTTAAGCTCTTTGTTATTTGGAACATTCAGATGTGGCTAGAAGCTGCCAAAGCAATTGATCTTTTTAGGTTGCATGTTTACATTCAGATAGTGCACGTCTTGTCTGCCATACAGTTTCCTAACCGCAGCTATCACAGAGATCAGGGGCTTCACCACGAAGAAGTGAGTCACTTTGTCACACTGTGCGAGCCTTGCCTCATGATAGTGAAGTTCAATACTGAAACACTACCGGTTGATGCGTTAACAGGTGCTGTAAATACCCTCCCCAGTTACAGATGGTGACATGCCAGCTCACGTATGAAAGAGCTATATAAAGTGAAATAGCTCATGTGAACATACTAGGGGAGCTGATGCAGCCATTCCTCAAGAGATCCTTTTCATGGAGCCTAGGAAGCCAAGCAGGTTGCTGCAGAACGGGTTCCGCAGCAAGTGAAGAAGTATGTTTTTACTGAAGTAGGCGGATATGTTAATCAACCTAATACAATCCAAACTAAAAACACGCAATGGGAAAAAATGAAGTAGAGCACTGTAGTTAGGGTAACATGTCATTACAGTTCGGCTACTTTTTCTGCTCAGCATGTATATTATCTTTAGAATATTAAAAGATGATACAACTGTTAAATCAGTATTTAAGATGTCAGGAAAGGCTGGAATGAAGGCTGGCTCTTCCATTCAGCATCTCTGCACCTAGGCTTAAATACAGAAATTTTTCCCCAGGTTCCATGTCTCAGTTCACAGGCCTGCCGGTGAGCAGTTACCCAGGATTTTGACACCTCTTCTCCATACCCAGTATATTGTTCCATGGCTTGCTTCTGCACCATGGAGGACCATACGATTTCTGCTCTCACACTGGTCCATTCACATCTCTGCCCAAGCATTTCATTAACATACTCTTCATCCAGCTTCATAATCAGGGGATATAGACAAATCAGACCTCCACTTTTTGGAGGCCTGCGGTGTGATGTTAAGGTCTTTCCAGAAAGTTTAGTAGCATTAGTATTTACATCCAGAATACTGCTCTCACTGACTTCACTGACAGCTGCTGAAGGCTAAACGTGTCCGCAGGCTGTCTGAGGCTGGGTACCTCAAGGGGAAGGGAAAACATGCCCAGAGGCATGGTTTTGGTAAAGGTTTTGGTTTACATGACTGGCTTTTCCTACATATGAACAGCTCTGTAGTGGCAGGTATAGAACCTAATTGCCAGGAATAATTAAAAGCGCCATTCAGTTTCCTCAGCCATTGTTTCTCTTCTCACAGCTCTCTGTCTCATTCTCTCTGTACCACGTAGCAGAAGGGGGATCCATCCTGCTCCCCTCACAGAGAGCTTTCCGCATGGAGCTTCTGTGGAAATAATTGTACTGGGCATGCAATAAAGATACTGCTGTAACCAACATAAACAACTGGGTCAAATTAAGATGTCAGAATCAGCCTTAGCGCTGGTCTGTCTTAACACTAAAAATCAAGCACTTGGATGTTAATGTTCCACTAGCAAAGTTTGTTTAAAGGATTTTAGTGTATGAATTTCTGTAAAAAATTCCCTAGGTTGTTCTAAGACAACAAACTGAAAATAACCAGCACCATCATTTGGAGGAAGCATACTGGCTCCCGCCCGCATAGCTCATCGGTTAGGTTCATGAAGGGAGAGCTGCATGCTAGAGCCTTTCCCCTCGAGCTGACTTACAGTAGGAGCTGTTGTCCATGGGAACGGGGAGCAGACGGTAGCCTTCGTGACAGGGGTTTCCTCTGCTGACAGCAAAGGAAGCGGGAGTCCAAGAGCATCTGGTACCTTGGGGGTTAAAAATTCCTATAACGCTATCAGTTGCTCCTCTTCCTCGGCTTTCTCTGCCTTCTCTTTCTAAAATATGCCTCAACTCCTGCTTCTCCCTCTCCAACCTCGTGCCCTTTCCTGCTTCTCCTCTGCATAACCCCTCCTGCCCAGGCTTTATCCTTCTGAGCTCCTGCCCTGGTGTCGCTGCTCGTGCTCCCTGCTCAGCTCGCAGGACCTGTTCTCCACCCACACAGAAATTGTATGTCCTCACCCTTCTCGCTGCCTGGCACCAGCTGAGGGCAGCCTGGGGTGGGCTTCGGTCCTGTGGGGTGCTTTCTGGTGTCACCGTCAGCTTGCAGGCACCATGCAAAGCCCTCTTCTCTTTGCAGAGTGTAGTAGTTGGTCCTGAATAAGCCACCAGTCTCTACCAGGACACATGAACTGATATTTTCAGAGACTCGTAACTTAGCCAGATGTCAGTAGGCTGTTGTGGGAAAGGACATTTCCCTGGAAGAAGCTGTAAAGCTCTAGGGCTTCTCAGTGAGAGATGGCAAACATTTCTGTAGAGTGGGTAAAGCAAAATGCCATTCCCTAACCACATTCTTGAGTCTTGCTGAGCCATCTTAGCAGAAATTTCCACACACAGAAGAGCAGCCTTAGGCAGGCAGCAGTCTCTGATGGGAGACTTGAGCGCAAATTTGCCAAAGTCCTTTTGCAGGCTTTTACAATGGGAGGGATGAGGAACTCGTACCATAGGCAGGGCTAATATGATTTTTTTTTTCCTGCCAGCTGCATGTTTGTCCTGTGGTTGTTATTAAAGAGCTGGCTTATGTGACTGTGGATATATTGCGCTTCATTTAGCAGGAAGACTCACGATTTTCCAGGAAATGATTGGTTAAAACCCAAATATCTAAATGCTTCAATTCAGTTCACATCTAAACTCTCCATTTACTTTGTAACAGAGACTTCAAATATTATCTGCCCTAAAACCAGGTTCCCCAGGCTGCCGTGAGGCACCAAAATGACTGCACTCATTTTCACGGTAGCTGAGCACCCTAGCATCTCTGCTTTTTACCATGGCTCTCTGCAGTTCCAGAGGATTAACTGTCTTATCTATCAGCAAACAGTTGGCATTACGTTTTCTATTGTCTCTTTGCTGTGAATCCAGCTCGGACTATACCTATTTTGGCTGTAATATTTGAAGTGAATTATCAGTGCAAGTGTCTTGCACTTTCAAAGAGCTACATTGCTGTTGGGATGATCATATCACACAAAATAGTTTCCCTCTGCTTCTCCCCCTTTTCTGCAAATATCTGCTGGATATGCAGACAGCTGCATTTTTGGCAGCAGATTGGATGACTTGAAGCTATTCACTAAGAGCCTTCGCCAAGCCCTCAGAAGTCAATACAAAGCCTTCCCTTGACTTTAGTGGAATTGTGCCCTCAAAGCACTTACATGCAGGGAATGAGTGAAAGCAATATGATTAAACTTAGAAAATGTATCTGGGCCACTCTGACAGCAAAAGCCATAATGTATTTTTTTTTCGAACAGTATTTCATATCATTAGTTTTATAGTATGCTGCTTAGTTTGGGGTATTTTTTCCAACAAAAATGATTCAGGAGTAAAGGGATTCATTATATCGAGCAATGCTGTTTTGCATCTTTAATGTTTGGTTTGGCTTTCAATTATAATCCCCCATTTTTAAAGGTTTAAAAGTTAGTGATAAAACCCCATTCTAGGAATAACTGGAATCAGAGCAAAGGACAGACAACTGATCCCCTGAAAAAAATTTGAAATACTTTTTCCTAGAGTAGAAAAGAAAAAACAGGCTTTTTTCTTTAAGATACACTGCCATCAAAGCCAAATTTAAGTTAAAAATGAAATTCTGAAAGCATTTGTTACAACAGCTAGGTGAG